ATATATATATATATATATTTGTGTGTGTGTGTGTGTATTTATGCTGCTGCTGAAGAAGCTTCAGAGTATTGAACATACTCTGCTGGTTTATCAGTACTTTTTTTTCACAGGGGTTTTTGATGTTGTCCGTTATATTGTAGAGCTTTTGCGACATTTTTCCTTCTTCTATCTACTCAAGGCCCCAGCGCAGAGTCTGCGTTTTCTTTCTTTCTTTTTTAAATCAATTTGTACATTTTCTTTTAGTGACTCTCTCTGGTGCTGCTGCCACAACAGATGGCGGCAAAGAAAATTGCACTCTCCATCTCGGACTTATAGAAGTTACACAACATGTAGCTGGAAACATGGGACCTGAGCTTCTACAGCGGAGTTTTTCTGTTTATTCTCTGATATATTTAAATATATATTGTGGGAATCTTTATGCAACCAAAAATTTTACAGTAAATTAAAAATGTGACCAATGTGTGACACTTATTTAAATGACCATTTGTGTTCTGTTTTATTCCATTTGATTTGCTTTAGTTCTGAATTTAAAGTTAGCTCAGTTCTTCATGTTAATATAATGTTAATTTCTATAAGTAAACCAATATTGCTATTTCTGATATTTTAACCCATGTTATTCCTTTTCTTTTCTTTTCATAACCTTATTTAATAGCAGTCTGTTTCTGTATCTGCTTGGTGTTCTGCTAATTGACAAAAACTGGTGATTTTTTTGTTTGAGATTTACAGATTTGAACAGTTCCTGTGAAACGCAGCATGCCTGCTCCGTGCATTTTCAATGAGCTCGGTTGTGATATTTGCGTATAACAGGAGCACCGCCTCCCTCCCATTGGACAATGTCTACGTGAGGGCGTGGCGAGGAAAGATGAGAGTTGAAAATCCATGCCCTTACTGGGAAGATATGGAGCGCTATGGACACAGTCTGCGCGAGACTGGAAGGTACCTCAAGTAAAGAGATAAATATTTCTCCAGCAAGCGATTTGAGAAACTGAGAGGAGAGGAAGGGTGGCCCGGTTGAGGATGGAGTGTGCATTTGACGCACAGAATCTGATCTCCATTTCTTTGAGGAAAATCCAGAGCTCCAGGACGCAGAGAGGAGGCATCAAGCTCCACAAGAACTTGCTGGTAACGTACGTCCTCCGAAACGCCAGGCAGTTCTACATGAGCAAAAACTCGTCGCCAACCCAGAGGACGCCTCCGTACGAGGACGTGGCGGCGGTGCGCGACAGGCAAGAATACCTGGAGTTGACCGGGAGCTTCACGGAGTTGGCTGATGACTTCTACTGCAACTTTACCGGGGTCGAGTCGAGCGCCTGGCACTGCGGAGCGCACCAGTCCCACAGCCAGCCAGCAGAGGTGGCGCACCAAGACGCAGCCGCGTGCGCAATGGTTCCACCAAGTGACTCTGACCTGCTGGTTTCGGACGCCTGTTGGAGCTGCTCGGACAAACCTTCCTGGGAGCTGACGATCCCGAACACGCAGGCCAACCAGAAGACCGTCCTGGACTTGGACACTCATGTGGTGACGACTGTCACGAACGGATACTTCCACTCGGACTGTTGCGCGCAGGGCGCGCAGTGCCTCTCCAAAAAGCGAAAGGTGGACACGAGTTACTACATTGTTGACCCGGAGTTTTACTTGCCGGACTTTGGGGCCGTGCCATGTAAGAGGATGAGAAGTGAGGATGACTTCTCAGACTCGGAGCAGTTGGACAGCACAAACATCTCCAACCTGATCTCGGTGCTGGGATCAGGTGGACTGTCTGAGTTTGTGAGTTGGCAGCAGACGGACCTTGAGCAAATATTCACCACTCAAACAATTTGCCTAAAACACACACTGCTGACAGGCAGTGGTTGGACCAGAGCGATCGAAGCATTTTGATTTGACATGATTGTTGTTATTTTTTTGTTGATAATATTATTGTTGTATCGTTACTTTGTTGATTTGAAATAAACCATGACACGACTGCAATTCTCACTCTCTCTTATTGCTGAAGAATATTGCTGAAATGTCTTCTCTTCATTGCCTGTATGACTTTCTTGCACACTGACTTTTTTTCTCGTGCCAATTAATGTCCTTACCGCACATATAAAATAAATGTTTTTTTCTTCTTCTTGTGTTTCGTTTCGGGGGTAGTGGAGTCTGTCCTTGGTTTGGATTTCCTGAGGAAAATCGTCAACACTGTCTCTCTGTGTGGAAGGATGTTGGACGAGCACCATCATGTGGCCAGTAAAGATCTGTACAGAATCATGCACCAGCGCAGAATATCTCTCTGTAAATGTATTTACGTCAGGGCCTGCCTTGCAAATAAAATTAAGATTGTTTAAAAACAAACAAACGTGGATGTGCTGGCTTTAAATTCTGTCCTCTGCACCACAAAACAGTTTACACAACAATTGTCTTTTAAGTTATTTAACTAGAATTTTCCTGTTTATCTTTTTAGTTTGTTATTTCATATCTACCTAGACTTATGAATAGGATTTAAAAAATAATAAACTAGTCTTTTTTTCTGTTAAAGCTTATTGCAGTGACTATAAAAT